GAGCTGATGGAAAAATAAGAAACAATAAATGGAACTTCGTTTCATAATTTACTTTGAAGAAATGCATTTATTTGAAGTCATGAAGGATACCTGTGTATCTGTTATCACATCAGTAGGTAACTCTATAGGCAACCGATTTTAAAGGCAGAATTCTTCACATAGAGACTAATTTAAGTAGAATACACAAGCTGAAAAAATAACAGGTGATCTTTTCAACAAAAGAGGAATCCAATTAATCTGCAGTTCTGGGATCATTGTTCTCTGACTGGATTGTCAAGGTCATATAGATACTTGCCAAGTGTCACATAAAATAGCTGTACAAGCTGTTTTGAATTCTATTGGGCCAAGTATACATGACACTGTTTATGTCTGCAATATGTTCTATTTTTCAAAGTGCTTCTTTATTTATTATTTGTGAATTAGTGGAGAAATCACTGGACTTAGAGGCCAGAGAGCTGGGTTCAAGTCCCAGTTTGCTATGTAATAGCTGTGGGCCGTAGGTAAGTCATTTGAGCCTCCAGGTCAAAGTGGGATCATCTGGGATGCCCAGGAAACACTTGGTAAACTGTAAACTGACTTGCAAATATGTTGGGGCTTTTTTGTTTACTTAATCCTCATTAACAAAACTGTGGGGTAAGTATTCCACTGATAATTTCCCCTATTTTCTAGTTGTGAAAAGTAAGGCAAAATGACTCAAATCATACAGCTTTAGCAAAGAGTTTCCTGACTTCAAAGCTTGTACACTTTCTCCCAGCCACCCTGACACAATGAACAAAGCTAAGTTTGTCAGACTTTCACTTACGGTATGCTTTTTGGATGACAGCAGCAATTCCACTATGAGCTTGTGAACAGAAGAAGTTAATTCCCTTCATAAAACTCAGTTACAAAGATTTGAGGATATTAATAAAAACCAACAGACACGTAACTGTCTGAATTTTGAAGCCAGAGTTACATTTTGCTGAATGTCATTTGTAAAAATATGTAAATGTCATATAAATATAAAGATGGAATCAAGAGAAAAGGTAAAAATAGGAACACAGGAATAAAACTGATCATTTTTACAAAATACGTAAGATTAAACTGTTTTACAATATAAATTTTATATTATTTTAAATAAATCAAAGAAGAAGGCCTTAAAAGAAATGACTTTAGTCCATAAAATTTCTCATAGCAGGTAACTTAACAATATCCAAATATGTTTTACTCAGAGTATTCTATTATGAAGTTTGGCCTTTTCCAGTCCTTAATTAATCTACGAACTACAAAATCTGCACTTTCTATCCAGTTCTAAGAGATAGAGTTCTGTTGTAAATCCGTGTTTTATTATCCACAGACAAGAAGAGAGCCCGTTCAGCTTTTGTCTTTTAAATCACATAAACTACAAATGACATGTGGAAAGTTTATTATACATTTTTGTATTTATCTCTACTTAAAAAAAATCCAGAGCAATTGTTTTCTCCATTTCTAGAAAGTTTGCTAATTAAAATTGTAAATCTTTGGGGAATTTTATTTTATTGAGGCAAACACGTTTCTAGTCAGTATTTTATAGTCTTCAAACTGAGGAAAGTAATTGGTAAGCACAAAGATGAGTATTTTTAGGTACCATTAAAATTAGCTACAATATCCTCCTACATACCCAAATTCCTTAAATTGTTGCCTCTTTCCTAGGGGATAAAACTATTTTTAAAGAATTAACTGAAAAATTTGGCTAGCTGGTATATGCTACAGTCGTTTTGTCTTTAGTCTATACATGCATACAATAAATCAATAACAATTTCCTAGAAGAGTTATAGGTTCTACTTTTCCCACCTGAGGGGCCAAGAACAGAGATATCCAGGCTGCCTCTGCACAGGGCCACAACTGGAGTTTGCTCTTTGAGGGCCACTGGAAGCCTGTGGCTCCATTGCCAAGGTTTGCTGTATGGGCCAGCATAAACCTATTCACTATTTTTCACATTTAAGCTCCCCAAAAGGCTTGAGGCAGGACTGAGAATTAAATTTGAGAGGATACACAAGTAATTGAGAGTTCATTTTAATACCATTTTGTATAGAAAGCACTAATGAAAATGAGTGGATATTTACCCAATTCACTTTCACAGAATTAGGCACTAATCTCGGAAAATTTGGACTTCATCTAAGTCTTCTCTAAATTTAAGAAAAAACAAAAGGCACTTTGCCATTTCTTTAACAGTTGGCAATGAAATCCACCACCCTGGCTGTGAGGGAACAGCCCATATCTTTGACAAAATGTAGGCTCTGTGTTGAAATAGATGTCTTAAACTATTTGTATCATTTTATATTATGGTAAATATAAAATGCAAACTATTCCATATTGCCACAGTGGTTGCTGCTTTGTGATTACTGATGAATTTCCCATTTTCATACAAATTCCAAGCACAGCCGTGTCTCCAAAGATGCATGTAATTATCCTGTATGATGCAGCAATTACATGAAGACGACATCCTTGCATGCTTCCGTTTCATATAAACTCAAGCATTAAGCAGGAAGCTGGAGGATATGTGGTTCATGACCTTGAGTAATCACTGCTAATAATCCTTGATAACAAGCTTGACATCAGAATGAAACACAGGGCCCAGCAGTTGCTACTAAACATATCTCAAATTATTATGTATTTTTTTATTCCCCTTGAAACCCAAGAATACATAATCAGAGGTTACTTTATATAGAGCAAAGCATATACAAGACACTTCTAATATCTATAAATCAATTGTAGTGTAACTTTTTAATCAAAATTCCAAAAGTATTTCATGTTGTTTTTTGGTATAACCGTTCTGCATATTCTTCCTATTTTCATGGAATAAAATATAATTCTCCAAGGCCATCCTCATCACCCTAACATCTACCATTGACCATAGTCCCATAAATGATATTTTTCTAAAAACTCAATTATCTGTATGTCAGGTGGAGTGTAGACTTCACCTCTCCTGTCACTTATTTTCATGACTGTTTGAGTAACATACACTTACCACCTTTTCCTATGACAACCACTGGGATGTACTGTGGTTTAGATGTTCCACATTTTTATTTTTATTTATTTATTTTTTAAATGCTATTTTTTATTTATTTTTTTGTGAGGAAGATCAGCCCTGAGCTAACATCCATGCTAATCCTCCTCTTTTTGCTGAGGAAGACTGGCTCTGAGCTAACATCTATTGCCAATCCTCCTCCTTTTTCTTTTCCCCCCAAAGCCCCAGTAGATAGTTGTATGTCATAGTTGCACATCCTTCTAGTTGCTGTATGTGGGATGCGGCCTCAGCATGGCCGGAGAAGCAGTGCGTCGGTTCGCGCCCGGGATCCGAACCCGGGCCGCCAGTAGCAGAGCACACGCACTTAACCGCTAAGCCACGGGGCCGGCCCGTAGATGTTGCACATTTTTAAAATTTTGTTTTCACTTTTTTGCATGTAAAACCTTATATTAATCAATTATCATGGGCTAACTAACTAGAGTAGTATGTGAATTCATGTTGGCAAGACATTAACTCTACTCCCTGGCTTACAAAATGTTGGTGATTCATTGTCAACTTATACACTTTAAATAGTAAGAAAAATATTACAGTTTTGGGATAGGTACATACTCATAGTATACTGTACAGACAGACATTTTTAAAGCCACAACAACTCCCATATATACATACATTAAAATAGAAAATGCCAATTTAAAATAAAACTCTAGTTATTAAGTACAAACCAAACCAGGTAAGAAGTGAGCATTTTAGAGTTTATCTAGTTTTATTTTTACCTACATATTTCACTATTAGTTTTATAAATGTTTTTACCATAAGATTGCTGCACTCAAAAAAATGACCTAATCAACATGAAATACATAATTCTAATTTTTTTGAAGAAATTGTCTAATTAGTCCCTATGACGAAAACAGAGTCAAAACTCTGAACCACTCTATTACATTAAACCCTGCATCTCCATTGCCAATCTAAAATGCTCAACTTGATGATATTAAACTCAAGTTCTCAGGGCTTCTCTTGGTTGGTTGGTATGATTTTATATGTTTTTTTTAACAAGAAAAGCTCTCAATGGGACCATTTTTAAACAAAGGAAGCTGAGTGACAGAGTGGCAACATAACTTGCCCAAGAATATGTAGTGGGGTGACAAAGAAAGAAACTTTGGCCCACAGATTCCAAAAGCTGCAAACTAGCTGTTGTTACCTTTTGAGCAAGTGGAAGCCTAGGAAACTCCCTTTTCTGGTTCAGCCTTTAAGCAAAATAGAGCTTCAGAAGAAAAATATCCTGTATAAGAATGTGTGAGGAGTCAAGAAAATATTCTATTTACTTTTTATTACATGAAGTTGTATTGTCCTGCCAGCAGACATTATAATGAAAAATATGTCTCAAATTGAAATTTACTTAGGATTACAAAATTTATTTTTCTTTCATGACTGTTAATCTAGGCTGCATAAAAGCTGTACTAACGTGCCTAGTATATACACTATCTAAAGGCTCATCACAAAATAGTATATATATAAATAAGTTAAGGTGCTCTCCCAAATCATAAAGTAAAACTGCCTTTGAGTGAACAAAGTACATTCATATTGCACTTTAAAAATGTTCAGCAGTTCTCAAATATTGAGTGTAACAGATCAGCCCATTTGAATAATTTAAAACATTTTACACTGATGGCATATTGATTTATCCTTGATATACAAATTTCTCATGGTGTTCATTAAACCATCTAAAAATCTCCTAACAAATGGAATCTCCATTATGCTCTGTTAGCAGTGAAGAGCATGATGCCTTATTTCCTTGGAAGTTTTCAGTTGATTTCCTCTCATATCATAAAATGATATCATGGAAGGCTGAGCAAATAAATAAATGGACCTGAAATAGCCGTATTTGCCAAAGCATTTCATTAGTGGACATCTTTCTTTAAGTAAGTGATGCGTTTGTGTAAGTGATGCTCCTGTGTTGATAAGCTATAAGCCATGCGGACTTGTCTCCAGCCTGTGTGTTGTCTTGTTTCTACAGAGTGTTATTGTAACCCTTTGGGCTCAGTCCATGATCGTTGTAATGGCTCAGGATTTTGTGAGTGTAAGACTGGAACGACAGGGCCTAAGTGTGATGAGTGTCTGCCGGGAAATTCCTGGCACTACGGCTGTCAACGTAAGTAACTCTGGGAGCTGCCCTCTGCCTGCTGAGCATGGCTGATTCTGCTTGTCTGGGCCAGTGCGTGCAGCTTCTCAGAGCAGAAAAAGATCCAAACTGCTAACAAGCTTTAAAAGCTACTTAATGCCCCAGCCTACGTATAGGAGATAGAGCAATCCATCAGCTGTCCAGCTGGCTTCTTTGAAGCCCATCTTCATCCCCTCTGATGGCTGGAGCAACTTATATTGAAATATTGTACGCAGATCCGTGTACCTGGCCAGACCATAAATTTAGTGGCACAGTGGGGACCCAGCTTGGAAATCTTCACCGCAGAATGAAGGGTGATGTGTACGTGGTTAATATATTTCTTGAACTGAAAGCTACCCTGGAGCTCCAGAGTTCATAAATTAAGTGATATCTACATAACTTATTACCACCCTTGCTATCATACCCATCACTGAATCTTAACCAAAAACCTAAAGGTAATAAATCTAAGGGATATTTAAATGCCAGGGTAAAATAAAGGATGAAAATCAATATTGATTTTAAGCCTCAGAGGTTAGGCACATGCAGCGAGCCTTAGACGAATGTCATTTGGTTCAGCCTCATTTCTCTGAGGATTATCAGACCTTCTTAAAAGCTTGTCAAGGCACGTGGCATGTCGGTGTGTTCAGGGAACAGAAATTTAAAAATCTGAGCAGCAGCTTCCTTCTGTCATTCATAACCTTTTCTGCTTTTTAATTCCGCACTAACTTTCAGGTTTATCTATACACAGTCAGCTTACTAATATTAAAGAGCCACCAGGCAAATCCTCTAGAGCAGGGCAATCCAACAGAAAATTGTGCAAGCCACATGTGTAACTTTAAGTGTTTTGTTATCCACATTAAAAACGTAAAAATGTAGAGAAAAAATTAATTTTAACAACTAATTTGCCCAAAATATCTAAAATATTATGATATCAACATATAATTAACATCAAAATTATCAAGGATGTATTTTACATCTTTTCATACTGTCTATGAAATCAGATGTGTGTTTTATACTTACAGAACATCTCAATTAGGACTTGCCATATTGCAAGGCTTAATAGCCACATATGTCTACCATATTGGACAGCACAGCTCTAGAGGTTTTTCTGCTTACTTTTCACTTGAAAAAATGTCAGCATGCAGGAACTGTCTAAAGCCAATTTCTACCAGGGCTGTACAGAATATTTTACCTGCTACTTGTGGAATTTATAGTTATCTGGAAGCTACACGTCTACATAATGTAAAGCCAAAGTGAAATTTACTGCCATACTAATGCCATGGACAGCAATGAACTGTGGTGATAGGATGAGATATTTGGCACTGAGCAGGCCAAGGTTAGGATGGGATCCAGGAGCTGGAGGGTGAGCATCTATGGAGGACAGTCAAATAGTCAGAACTCAGGCAGCATACCTGCCTGTAAGCTCTGGATAAAGCCATAGTTTAAAAGTCCTACTTGACTTATGTTTCTAGAAAGAACCTTAAGGGCCTGAATGAGTTGGTGGATCCCAGGGACCATGTAAGGAGCCTGGACTCAGAGGACAGTCATCAGTCCTGGAACATCTGACTAAAGAGGCCCAGAGAAGGCCAACAGTCAAGAGGAGAGAAGGAGGGACAGACAGAGGAAGGGCTGAAACCAGCCCCAAGACTCAAGGGACAACGACTTTGTAAAGAGACTTTGTAATTAAGACATACTTCTTAAACAGAAAGTCTCATATAAACTTCCTGATGCAATAGGACCTAATGCATGGGTTCCTGGAGTATAATCAGGGAAAGACATTGGAGAGGAAAATACATTAATGTAGCCTTAGGGGAAATGCATCCCAAAAGGAGCCTAACTCAATTTTTCTGTATTAATTATTGGAGTATTATAAAAAATGTCACCAAATTTTTCCTTCTGGAATTAGAAGACAGGATTTAAGTGTGGCTGTGTGATATACAAAACCCTCTGTGCCTCAGCTCCAGCACCTCACAGACTTCGTATGTGGATCAGTGAGATTATGGGAGTAAATGCTTTATTCTCTTGAGTATTTCTTGAGTACCTACTATGAATTAGGCATTGAGCTAATAGTAGAGGCAACAAGGATGAAGAGACAGAGCTGCTGTGGACATTTGGGCCCAGAGTTCACAATCTGGAGTGAGGGGCTGACCTACAACCCGACAATTATGCAAGAAGTAATCAGAACTAAGGAAAAGCTATGTACATGCTTTTAGTGAAGCCCAGATGGGGAGTAAGGCTTCCCAGGGAGGCTTCCCCCATTTGGTTGAGTACTGAAGGATTAGTAGGAGCTTTCCAGGATGGAACTTCTTGGGCAAAGGTGTATGAGCTAACACACTATGTTCCAGAAATGTCAAATAGTTTTGATATGACTAAGGGATAAGGGGTGTGTATGTGTGTGTGTGTGTGTGTGTGGAGGGAGGGAAGATGTTGAAAAAGCAACCAGAGACCAGATCATGTGATATCTTGAACACCAAGCTAAGGAGTTCATCTCCTCAGGGAAGAGACGTGGGAACCATCATACTGAGGAGATATGGTATCCATCATACGGTTTTAAGCAGAGGAATGAAAGTCTTAGATTTTGTTTTAGAAAGGTTATTCTGGCTGCTCTTTAAAGGAAGGACTGGAACAGAATGAGACTGAATTTGCTATATGAATTTAATGTATTTCAAATACACCTTTGAGCACACAGTAGTTTTATCTCACTCTAAAATCTTCTCTCCTTCCTTCAGACCCGCCCATTCAGGGCTGACATTCTGTGTTAAAATACAGAAATTCTTCTGTCAGTTGGTAAATGGCTACTGCATGAAGATCCCTAAGTGCCTTTCCCTGGGATCTCTTAAAATGCCCCCATGATCTAGCAACTAACAGACAGGTTAGGACAGATACCTGTCCTAGCAGGGTGCCTCCAGCACCTGCTCCAGTATTATAGTAGGTATCCATTCTAATTAGTTGGTGCTTGTAGGTTGATAAATATTTATCATATCCCTCCTGTGTCCACACACACATGAATTCACTAAAAAAATGCCCCTTGAGTCAATCTCTCTTTTTCTCTTTCTCCTCTCCACGCGCCCCCCAACCCCACTCTGCTTGCCCTGAATTGAACCCATCCTTGGATTGGCCACATTATCAGTGGCAGTGATATTAGCCTGGCAACAAGAAATGGATGCTAGGAAGAAAATCAGTGGTAGAGAGGGCTAGCGGTGACTTGGCAGCAATGAGCAGGGAGTAAGCAGGCGTTTAGGTAGAGATTTCTAGGGAGGGGCTGTAATAGGTGTCAGGACTGAGTCCAAGGGATCCAGACACAGAGCTCCAGTCCCGCCAAGGACTGTCAAAAGGAGCAATGCGAAACTGAAGTCCAAAAGGACTTGGATTTGGGAACAGAAAATAAAGACAGGAATCTGGTTACTGACACTATTGCTTACATCCTATGAGTGGAACCTAGTGAGTACACACTTAGGCTCTGGAGTCATACAGACCTGGGTTTGAATCCCATCTCCACCCCCTACTACCTGCAAGATTGAGAAGAAATCACTTGGACTCTCTAAGTCTAGTTTTTCATCTAAAAATGGGCTAATACTGGGACCTAACACATATGGTAATTGTGAAGATTCAAGGAAAATAATGAATGTGGACCTCATAGTACATAGTAACTAGTCAATTATTACTTAATTCCAAGCACATGTTGATGTTTCAAAGAATTAGGCAAGAATCCATGTTCAAAACTTATTGTATAGTGATAGTGCAGAAAGTACGGCAAGATTGGCCACTATTGAAGTATCAAACTGTTGACCTAAGGCTTCTAAAAAGCCCTTGATTAGAGACAACACTGATTCAAGAGACTGAAGCAAAGCTGACCCCAAAAAGCAACTGTGTGGCTTCAACTGGGGGAAATGAAGAACTCCAGGCTCATCAGTGAACTTTCTGCCTGAGGAGGCCACTAATTGTGTGATCCATAAATGTAAGCTGGTCTTTCTGACACAAAAGGTAAAACACTTGAAAACCATCAGAATGAATGGTCCTTAGGCAGCAGGGAACACAGAATTCAGGAAAGAAAGCAGAAATAGAAAGATTTCAAGGAGGTCGGGCAGAATCAAAATTAGTGTTGAGATGACCAATAGAAGAATGAGACATTGAAGAGAAAAGGGAAGATTTTTTTTTAATGTACCCCTTTGAAATCAAAGAGAAACAAGCCATATCCCAGAGAATAAAGCTGAACCTTCTCAAGAGGGAGTAACATTCATGCTTCACATAAAATATGGAGGGTTAACATGTATTGGGAAGAAATGAAACATTTGTTACCAGCACCGAGGACACTGGATGTAGGGGAGGTTTGTGACTTTTTTTTTGGTTTGGCAAATGGAATGGGAATAGCCACACGTAGAACCAGTGAGGGTGATGAGGAGATGTGTTGTCTTCCTGGAGGATGTATGAGATACAATGGAATATCACGTAATGTTCATTAAAGCCACCAATTGTCCCCCATTTTTACCTAATTTATATGAATACTAATGGTGCTTTCAGAAGAACCTATAGTCTGGGTTATATATTTGGGTTAAAGTCAAAAGATTGGGTGACATAGTTAAATGTTATGATTTTGGAAGATAATAGAGCATGTAGGAAATCAAGACCTAAGCATACATAGCAAGGGCAAGGCTGAGATTCAGTTGCTGGACCATGGTTTCCAATATTAGAATATGGGTTCTTGGAAGGGATACCAAGAACAGGAAAACTGTGCTTAGTAGGAAGCTCAATGGCCTGATCAAGAAGATTTTTAATTAAATTTGAGAGGAATAAAGTGAAAATACCCTTATAAAACTGTAAAACCAGACACTGTGGCAAACCACAAAGTTAAAAAAAGACAACAGCTATTCTCAGGACAAAAATAAGAGAAAGTTTGGGGGGCAAAATTCCATGGCTTGGATGTATCCCTGCCCAGAGAGTGCACAGTAACTACGCATTGAATAAATGAATAAATATTCATTTTCTACTGC